GATAATCGCCATTATCCGACCATAATTTCTGGAGTTATGCCCCTTTATGGACTTGCCGAAACAGTGTCCGCTCGATATCTCGAGTAATTATTAACGGATTAACTTCAAACTTCACAACGAGGTTAATTACCATGAAACCACGGACAAGTTCGATAACGGCCATTATCCGACCGTAATTACTGGAGTTATTCCCCTTGGTTTCATTAATGCGATGCATGCGTTCCATGATGTTGTATTGCTCTCATTGATCTACCAGTTATGTTGAATGATTTCTCTTTTAATATCAATTACTCACAAATACTAAATATATTTCAATCATACAAACAACTGCTCATTCAATGTGTGACGGGCGTATTATATACCGCTCGCGGTAACCTTGTTTATCCGATATTATTATCTTTTCCTAGGGAGGAGAATACAGAAAAGAACTCACTGTTCTGTTGAGGATGCTACAGCTACCATGGACCTGTTTAAACTGGTGAGGGTGGAGTGGGAGGAGTCGATAGATCAGCGAAACTCCGATGTCAACGACAAGAGCGGAATAAAAACACAAGATCCAAAAGATGAAAGAAGTGAGAAGGATAGCGAACTGTCGGAATATCTGGATGATAAGTTTTGGCCTGAGGTATGTTATTATATTGGATATGAGTGACTGGGGGTTTTGTACTCTTTTCATCGGTTGGTCCATCCATGTTAGTCTTAGCCTATGTTACCATCACTTGACAAAGGTTTTGTTGGAGGACTTGTTAGTTTTATGTAGCAGAGAATCTCAGAGAACTATCAAATCTGTAAAACTTTAACTTTTGAGTATTTTGATAATTTTTAGGTCACCTGAGACAAAGTCTCAAGTGACCTATTGCGATCGCCTTTTGTCCGTCGTATATTTTCAGCAGAAAATTGCTCAAACTTAGTCAGAATCATCTTGGGTAAATGAGAGTTTTACTTTGTAAAATTAGGATTCCTGCCCCATCCCTAGGGGCTAGAGCGGGGCCCCAAAGGGAACATTTACCAATATTTTCAAANGATATACCAAAACTTTTTATGCTACATATATATAAATTTAGGGGTATTGGTGAATTGGGGGGGAGGGCACAGTGGCTGGGTGGTTAAGGTATTTGACATTCTGCTTCCACTATCCACTTGCCCTCCACAACTGGGTCGCAGGTTCGAGGCCTATGTGGGGCAGTCGTAAAGTACTTGCCCTAGTCTGGTGGTTTTTCTCAGGGAACTCCGGCTTTCCTACACCAACAAAACCTGACACGTACTTAAATGATAGCTGTAAATAGGACATAAAACACAAACAAATAGTGTTGCATTGTAGATCTTTTATGGATGTTGGTTATATGACTGATTGAGTCGGCTTTACCACAGAGTAGTTCGGTTATCCAGTTGACGGTATGGTTGTTGATAGCATTGTTCCATTGTACTTTTACAGGACCACGAGGTGAAAGACAAGTTGTCGGACAGCAGCAATGACTCTGCACACACCAAAGTTTTGCCAGACTGTGCTGAGCCCACAGGTAACAATGGAACATTCAAATTGCTACATAATGTTAAAATTGTTTCATCTTTGAATTGTGCTAAAGAAATCTCACTCCACATAAATCTGACCCTGTAGGAATATAGCTACTGGTTGTCATTTAATATTACTCATCAATACATAGAGAAAAAACGGGCCTCGAAAAGTTGCTGTAAAGTATTATGAATAATATCACGTGTAAACCAAAACCAAAACTTGGATTTACTTGAATTAATTATCTTGGAAATAAATCCAAAAAAACACACATCACTTGTTTCTAACACACTGGCTCCCCTTGGTCATTTAATAGTTGACTTGAACATGTTTCTTTTTGAGATTGATCGATGACAGCCAGGCAGTTGTCTTTGATAAGACAGTTAAAATTTGTTGTTGCTTTTTTTAGGAAGAAGGTGTAGGTTCCCATTCGGCCATTGTTGTATATGATTGATTTTGGGACTGAAAAGTACAAGAATGAAATTAGATTTTTATTTAGCCCCTACATGGGCAACAAGCAGCCAGATGCAGAGAGAATTAGTAAGCCCATAGGTGACAGTTTTAGTTTATTTATCGTGTTCATACTTATACACAGAGTGTAGTGTAGTCAGTGTAGACATCATGATATTGTATCAGAATTGATGAATACTGTTGCTCCCATTATTAATTCTTGATATTTGGTATCAGTCTTGGATATTTGGGTGGTGTTTTTTGCGATTTTTTTTGTATCTCCAAATACGTTGTATATCATTTTATCTACCATCACTACAGAATTGAATTCTGTCGCTGCATTAAATGAAGTCGCCCAGAAGTTAAGATGGGAGGTACCAGAATACCAGTACGAGTGTCTGTCATCAGAGGACCCACCGAAGTTTGTTTGTACGGTAAATAAAACAATGACAATTGAACTGTGATAAGTTTTAACAGGAATTGTTTAAATGGATTTCTATAGTTCACCAGAGTCACGCAGTAGACCGACCTATTGTGATCACCTTTATAGGTCACCAGAGTCACACAGTAGACCGACCTATTGTGATCACCTTTATAGGTCACCAGAGCCACACAGTAGACCGACCTATTGTGATCACCTTTCATCCAGCATCATGATTGTCTAAGGTGCATCATGCTGAAAAAATACTTTTCGATTTCTCAAAAACTCTGTCGAGTTTTGAAGAAACTTGGTGGAAATCACCCAGCATCAGAATATCCACAAGAGTCTGCAACTGTTTTTAAAGTAACAAATTGCAACAAGCTTCATACTGAAATCAGTGATAAAAGGAATTGTTTAACCCATTCACCCCTAAAGTCAAATTTGAACCTTACCAAATCAAAGACTTAGCAAGTCCATTTAAAAAAATGTAGGGGTGAATGAGTTAAATGGATATTGTACTTAGATATAGTGATTATTTCGATTCTGAATAATACCAGAGAAGAAAAGGTTTATTGTTATTAAAAGATGGCTAATTATAGGGTATAAGGATCTGTTGCTACAGTTGCCCAAACAGACAGACAGACACTGCCCTGTACCATCCTCAATATCTAGAGGTTACGCTCACTTTCGCTCTCTGCACCCCTAGAACAAGTAGGTTTTGGTGAATGGTGTGTAAATGATGTGGATCACATTTTGTAGGTTTTGGTGAATGATGAAGGGTATCAGTCCACAAGCTGCTCCAATAAAAAAGAGGCCAAAGCAGACGCTGCCAAAGCATTTTTTGTACATCATCGTAGATCAGAAAGTGAAACCTACATGGATGTATTGAAACATATAACAAGCAACACAGAGACAGAGAAGCAGACGGATCTAAGTAAGTAGTTTTGTTTATCGTTTTAAATATATAATATATAGCTGTTTTATTCATTTAAATGATATTTTCACAGACTTGCAGGGTAGATACATTACATTAACAGCAACATTATGACCACCATTACTATTTGACAACGGTTGCAATTTTCTGCATCAACCGCAGTGCAGTTTTCTATATCAACATTAGGAATTATGTATTTAGACTGTCTCAAACAATATAGCATTGTGGCAGATGTTATGGTGTTTACGCATATTAATAATTTGCTCTTAATTTGAGGTTAACTTTCTTATATACCGCTTCATCACAACCTAGTTCGTAGGTTGTCTCAAAGCGGTTCACAAATTATCCGTGGTTATAGGGCCTTTGCAACCAGCCGATATCGTTCTCAACTCCCGGGGGAGCATTACTGCCAGTGCTGCCATTTTATCGCTCACATCTAGCATTCAACAATCCTAGCACTGCCCAACCACATACTCATTTACAGCTGAGTAGACTGGAGTAAAGTATCTTGCTCAAAGATACAACCAACGCCGTGCCGTGACTTGAAACCGCAACACTACGGTCACGAGCACGACATCCTACCACTAGAATAATGTGCCTCAAATCAGTTGCCATAGCAACAAAATAAAATATTTCTATTACAAGATTGCTGAAAACCAATCAAAACTGTTACTAATTGGTAAAGATTTGGATATTGAACATTCACGCCAAATTTTGTCCATTTCCAATTGACATTTTTTTTAACTTATAAAGTTTATGCATATTAAGAAGCTTATAAGTTAGCCATATTTAAGGTGCATGGATATGATGTTTTGTTGAATTTCACATTTTTGACGATAGGTAATTAAAAATATTGAAGTTCAAACCAACTTGTTTCTTTCTTAATTTGAAATATATGCATTTTGGCATTTTGGTGAGATTTACACTATTCTGAAATCAAATGTGTGATTTAGATTAATTTAAAAACTCATCTTCATTCAATTTTGGCTAAAGATTGTTATACAGGTCTAATGACAGAAAGTTTGTGACAAATTTCAACCCTTAAATTGTCTTAACCTTTTTATTTCCATGGAGATATTTTCGTGATCCAAACAACAAAATACTCAATTAGGTAAATCTCTTTTTAATAAACATCATAAATGGTCTTTTTGTATCTCCAAATACGTTGTATATCATTTTCTCTACCATCACTGCAGTGTTAAATCCTGTCATCGCATTAAATGAAGTCATCCAGAGGTTAAGATGGGAGGTACCAGAATACCAGTACGAGTGTCTGTCATCAGAGGACCCACCGAAGTTTGTTTGTACGGTAAATAAAACAATGACCATTGTACTGTGATAAGTTTTAACAGGAATTGTTTAAATGGATTTCAACAGTTCACCGGAGTCATGCAGTAGACCGACCTACTGTGATCACCTTTATAGTTCACCAGAGTCACACAGTAGACCCACCTATTGTGATCACCTTTATAGGTCACCAGAGTCACACAGTAGACCCACCTATTGTGATCACCTTTATAGGTCACCAGAGTCACACAGTAGACCGACCTATTGTGATCACCTTTATAGGTCACCGGAGTCACACAGTAGACCTACCTATTATGATCACCTTTATAGGTCACCAGAGTCACACAGTAAACCGACCTATTGTGATCACCTTTATAGTTCACCAGTCACACAGTAGACCTACCTATTGTGATCACCTTTATAGGTCACCGGAGTCACACAGTAGACCGACCTATTGTGATCACCTTTATAGGTCACCAGAGTCACGCAGTAGACTGACCTATTGTGATCACCTTTATAGTTCACCACAGTCACGCAGTAGACCGACCTATTGTGATCACCTATATAGGTCACCAGAGTCACACAGTAGACTGACCTATTGTGATCACCTTTATAGTTCACCAGAGTCACACAGTAGAACAATCTATTGTGATTACCTTTATAGGTCACCAGAATCACACAGTAAACCGACCTATTGTGATCACCTTTGTAGGTCACCAGAGTCACACTGTAGACCGACCTATTGTGATCACCTTTCATCCAGCATCATGATTGTCTAAGGTGCATTATGCTGAAAAGTTACATTTTTGAATTTCTCAAAAACTCTGTCAGGTTTTGATGAAACTTGGTGGAAATCAACCAGCATCATAATATCCAAATGAGTCTGCAACTGTTTGTAAGGTAAAAATTGCAACAAGCTTCATACTGAAATCAGTGATAAAAGGAATTGTTTAACCCATTCACCCCTAAAGTCAAATTTGAACCTTACCAAATCAAAGACTTAGCAAGTCCATTTAAAAAAATGTAGGGGTGAATGAGTTAAATGGATATTGTACTTAGATATAGTGATTATTTCGATTCTGAATAATACCAGAGAAGAAAAGGTTTATTGTTATTAAAAGATGGCTAATTATAGGGTATAAGGATCTGTTGATACAGTTGCCCAAACAGACAGACAGACACTGCCCTGTACCATCCTCAATATCTAGAGGTTACGCTCACTTTCGCTCTCTGCACCCCTAGAACAAGTAGGTTTTGGTGAATGGTGTGTAAATGATGTGGATCACATTTTGTAGGTTTTGGTGAATGGTATGTAAATGATGTGGATCACATTTTGTAGGTTTTGGTGAATGATGAAGGGTATCAGTCCACAAGCTGCTCCAATAAAAAAGAGGCCAAAGCAGACGCTGCCAAAGCATT